CCCCGCCACCGTGCTCCTTGGCGGTCAGAGCCAGGGTGGATACAGATTCCAAGTGCATTCATCTTACTGATTTGCCAGTAATGCCTCCTGCTTTGCAAAATCCCACACTAAACCCGACCTTGAATGCATGCATGGACAGGTTTTTTTCTTCCTTTAACAAAGCTTTTCCTTATCTAAAGAGACGGGACTCACTCTGCACTCGCGGCCTCCAGCAGCACAACTATCCGGCTCCCTCTCCCTCTGCTCCTGCAGGGCTGGCTGTGTCCTGACGCTGTCCCGTGAGCTGCAGGGCACTTTGACATTTTCCCCTGACGCTGTGAATTTAGGGCTGCTGCAAGCTGCTAGCTTTCGTGGAGGCACATCCCCCGGGCTAGGGTCCTGCATGCACTTAAAATGAAAATCGAGGACGCACAGTACCCTGACTTGGGCTCGCGCCGGGCGCCTGCTTACTGTACTCTATTTACCGGCCCAGCTGGGCTCGCGCCGGCCCCGCCCACCTCACGGGGATTGGTTGCAAATGCGGAAGAACGGAGCCCTCGCCCCGCGCCCAGAACAGCCAATGGAAGCTCTCACTCAGCCTGACGGACGCGGCGCTTTTCACCAATAGGAACGAAAGAATGGCCGCTCGTGTGGCCCAGGCGAGCGCGAATAAAATCCGCCCCGCTGGGCTCGCGCTTCATTCTGAGCCGAGCCCGGTACCTAGTGCATCTCTCTCATCAGGCGGCCGCCTCAGCTCTAGGGCAGCCCGGTTTCCCTTCCTCGCACGGCGATCAGCATGAAAGCTTTCAGTCCGGTGAGGTCTGTTAGGAAAAATAGCTTGTCGGACCACAGCTTGGGCATCTCCCGGAGCAAAACCCCGGTGGACGACCCGATGAGCCTGCTCTACAATATGAACGACTGCTACTCCAAGCTGAAGGAGCTGGTGCCCAGCATCCCCCAGAACAAGAAGGTGAGCAAGATGGAAATACTGCAGCATGTCATCGATTACATCCTGGACCTGCAGATCGCCCTCGACTCGCACCCCACGATCGTCACCTTACACCACCCGAGACCTGGGCAGAACCAGGCGTCCAGGACGCCGCTGACCACGCTCAACACGGACATCAGCATCCTGTCCTTGCAGGTGAGCTCTGCCCCGATGCCACGCATCAGCCGCCGCTGGGGCTGTCACTCTTAGGTGCATTGTCCAGACTGATACTTGCAAGGAAGCTAATCCACTTTATTTCCTTAAAAACGTGCTGCTGCAGATTGAGCCGTGCGTTCAGTTGCTAGTAAGTTCGAACGTGTGAATCAACGCGTGTAGTGTGTGCATAGTGGCCTAAACGTGCTTCATGCAACTCGCTGGTGTGCGGAGTACTTTAGTGAAAAAAGAGGCCCTTTCTTCCTTAAAGACTGTCTAACACCGAGCCTTTATCCTCTTCCCCTCCAGGCATCCGAATTCCCTTCTGACTTAACGTCAAATGACAGCAAAGCACTCTGTGGCTGAATAATGGGTGAGTGTTCACTTGTGCCTCTTAGAGTGGGTGCGTGTGTTTTTGTAATTTGCCTGTGTGGGGTCGCTTGCGAGCCGGTAAAATGTTTTATTTAGTAAATACGTGCTTACTTTATTGTGATATGTGTGCTATGTCGTCTTACCAGACAAGAAGGGGCTTGTAGCTCTGGTTACTCAAGATCCTAGAACGTTTCCCCAGGAACTTAGTAGGAAGGTGGCCCAGGGAAGTATGTGGGGAACTCTGTGTGTGTGTGTGTGTGTGTGTGTGTGTGTGTGTGTGTGTGTGTGTGTTTGTCTTTTGTAGCAAATGTAATGCCTCGGCTGGCTGCTATTTATTTCCCTGGTGCTATGAGGTGCTAACCTCCGCTGTAATTAATCTTATCGCCACAAATTCCATAGCGATCCTCCTTCCCTGAAAGCACAGTCCTGTGATTCTCCTGGTGGCTGGGGACCCCTGTGCTTTAACTGCGGGCTGTGGGATCCCAGACTTCCCTATCTGCTCACTGAAGGGCTGTTTCCAATCAAATAATTGTTACAAGCAGCCGCCTGGCGCCTGTGAGCACTGCCGCTGGAAATCCAAATATGAGATTGGGTTGGGAAGTTTTTCCCTGGAGTCTCTGTGATTTTCATGTTTAATTTGCGCCTCGGAGGCCGAGTTTGTGTGCTGCATATGGACGCCAGGGTTCGCCCCATCTCCGAGCGTTTGGTTAAATATTCAAACTGCGGCTTCCTCGGTGGCGCCGGGCTGCCGGCCTCTGCCCTTGGCTTGCGTTCTGCTAAACACGCCTTTCTCTCCCAATCTTTTGCAGGTGTTCATGACTTTTTCTTTCTTCTTTTTCTCTCATTTTCTTTTCTTTTTTTTTTTTTTCTTTTTCTTTTTTTTTTTTTTTGCACAACAAAAACAACAAATCCGCAGGATCTTTTAAGACGCCGAACTTTTCAACAATTTCCAGGAGGACGACAAGTTTGAATGGACGTTTTTTTCAAAAGAAAAATAAGAAGGCAGACTAAGAATCATCTTCCCAGGGTGTTGTCTAACCTGGACTGTGATACTCGTTATTTATGAAAAAGACTTTTAAATGCCCTTTCTGCAGTTGGAAGGTTTTCTTTATATACTCTTCCCACCATGGGGAGTTAAAAATCACAAGGAATTGCCCAATCTAAGCAGACTTTGCCTTTTTTCAAAGGTGGAGCGTGAATACCAGAAGGATTCAGTATTCAGTTACTTAAATGAAGTCTTTGGTCAGAAATTACCTTTTTGACGCAAGCCTACTGAATGCTGTGTATATATTTATATATAAATATATATATATATGGAGTGGAACCTTGTGAACTCTTTAACTAGAGTTTTCTTGTATAGTGGCAGAGATTTATATTTCTGCATAAAACGTGTAATGATGTACTTATTCATGCTAAACTTTTTATAAAAGTTTAGTTGTAAACTTAACCCTTTTATACAAAATAAATCAAGTGTGTTTATTGACTGGGGGATTGCCTGCTTTATTTCAGAGTACCAGTGCTTTGATTTTTATTATGCTATGTTATAACTGAACTCAAATAAATATAAGTTCAAATTTATGTAGACTGTACCAAGATTATAATAAAATGTGTCTGAAGTAATTCCTGAATTCCGAATGATTTTTAATACGTCTTGCACGCCCCGAGCTGTAGTCATTCTCTCCTTTTCTCTCTTATCTCTTTCATTTAATCTTTCCTTTCCTCTCCTTCCGCACTAAGCCCTTCAAGAGAATCTCTTATCAGATTGTGGTCAGGACCAGCAGTTTGGGGCAAAGGGCTCCGCTGCTGTGTAGGAGTTGTTAGGGACTGGAAAGGCTGGACACCCGGAAGTTGTGCGAGTCCTTCAGAAGGAATAGCTTAGTTCTGAGATAGGAGTTGTTGAGGATTGTGACTCTGGGCGTCAGGGCAAAGTCAGAGTGGAATCTGACTTCCTGTGTGAGGAAGACTCATCCTAAGGTGACTGCAGATTCAGGAATTACGCAAAGCTTTTGTTGGAGAGAAGGCTGAGCGATACCAGGGGTTGAACCCAGGGCCTTTGCCTGAGCTACACCCCCAGCATTTTTTTCTTTCTTTTTCTTTTTTTTTTTTTTTTTTTTGTTTAAATTTTGAGTCAGGTTCTCAAATAGCCCCGGCTGAGCTCAAACACGAAGTCTTCCTGCCTCAGCCACCTAGAGTTCAGCGCCGCTCACCAGGCTCCTGGGCCTCAATTTGGGCTCTTCACCCTGTGGCCACGCAGGCTGCAGAAGACCTGCCCGGGCCCGCAGCTTTCCGAGCCGCTGACTATGAAATCGCCCTTCACCCTTGACTGCCACCAAGCCGGGAAGGCGAGGGCGGGACGAGAACACCCGCAGGGGCCTGGAACCAGGGTCTGGGGCTGTCTGCGGCCCGCATGGGGACCCTGCCTCCCCTCGCACATGGACGCCTGTGGGTGTTCGGTGCTCGGCCCACGCGGGCAGCGCGGACCCCGCATGCCCGAGCGCCGGTGCTGGGGGCGGGGCGCCCGGAAGGCCGACCCAGAGGCCGGAACCGGAGAAGGAAGGGGTGGGGCAGGCCGGGCTGGACGCGTCTCACCTGGGGCCACTTTCTGGGCCAAGCAGGTGTTTGGGAGGCGCCATAGAGTCTGCCCCGGCGGCGGCCCCGTTTCCTGGCCGCTGACACCGAATCCATCACTGCCAGCGCCGCGGGGACCTCCTCTCTGCAGGGCAGGGGTCGCGGGGCAATGGCACCTGCGCTCCGGACTGGAGGGAGGACTGCAGCGAGGCTTCGGGGTTGCGATCCTGCAGCGGCACCTCGGGGCGGTGGATGAGCATGCACAGCCCTGGGAAGCTGGGGACACCGAGGCCAGTCACCTACACTCGGGCCACCCGGTGCCAGCGTGCGCGCTCAGGGCCTCTGGGCGGGAGGTGCGAGGGCAGAGCGCTGGGTTCGGACCCCGGCTCCTCGGTCGCCCCCAGTCTCGGTGACCCGCAGGGACAGCCAGGTGCAAAGGATGTGGTGCATTCTGGACCCGGACCAGGCAGGCTGCTTCCCGCACCTGTAGGGGCACTGGGTGCCGGGCACCGTTTGCGACGCTTGGGCCGCGACCCCGAGTTGCAGCGCCACCTATCGGAGGTACCCGTGGCCGCAGCGCGCCCATCCGGAGGGTCGCGCCATGGAGGCCGGGCGCCACCTGCTGACCATCACTGCAACTGAGAGTCCGGGTGCACAGCAGGAAATGGGGGGTGCGATGCAATCTCACGGCTAAGGCAATGTTTCTTTTTCCCTTTTTTTTTTTCTTCCTTTTTTTTTTTTTTTTTTTTTTTTTTAGTATTAGGCCTTTTTGTTATTTTATTTAGAGATGGCGTCTCTCTGAGTTGCTAAATTGCCCAGGCTGCATTCAAACTTGTGATCCTCCTGCCTCAGCCTCCCAGAGTGGTGGGATGACAGGCATGCACCACCACACTTGGAAAATTTGGTAAATTTCTTACAGTTTTTATTAATATTATTTTTGTTTGTTTGTTCTCTTTTCTTCTGGTACCAGGAATCGAACTCACGACCTTGCACTTGCCAGGCAGGTGCTTTGCTGCTGAGCTAAATCCCCAGCCCCTATTATTATTATTTTTCTATGGTTGATTACATCGATTTCTCTGCTCTTGGGTGGCCATGCATTTCTAAAATAATTCTTAAACACGATATGGTAGTGCTGCCTATGTCCATTGTGAATTCTCCTCCTCCTCCCCACCACTGCCATTGTGAAGGGTGTGAAGAACGCACACCTTTCCCCATCTGCAGGGTGACCAAAATACACGGATGTGTTTAAATTTTTTACATTCATTAAAGTAAAAGACACATTGCTATGAATCCCCCTCAAAATCCTCCCCTCACTTCCAACACACTCATCCCATCACCCTTGTCACTTTCTGCAGCAGCTCTGGAGTCCTCTTTTGGAAGGGTCTTTATGAAGTGGGATAAAAAATACAGGGAATGCTGCTGCCCAGGACTATCGAAGGGAAAGGCAGCTCCTAAAAGCATGCCGTTGTGTCCACCTTAGTCACTGGATCCAGCACTGGGTGACTTCCAGCTCTTCCCCAAAGTCAAAATGACCAAGAAAGGGAAATGTTTTGAACCCATTCAGGATATCAAGGTATCCAGGACAGTGCACGTAGACCCTCAGGAAAGAAGACTCCAGAGCTGCCGCAGAAAGTGACAAGGACAGTGGGGTGAGTGTGCTGAAAGTGAGGAGAGGATTTTGCGGGGCATGCATGGTTGTGCTTCTTTGGCTGTAATGAACTTTTTTAAAAAACAATCTAAACACTCACATATTTTTTATCACCATGTGTACAGGAGCACACTACCTTCTTAGGCCTGGGTCTTGGTTTTCAGAACTCTCTTCCTGGACACAATGCCAGAAATTTGGTTTTATACACACATAGTCCACTAACTGAGCTCTAAATTAGTTTCTTCCACTCTGCAGCAAAAGTTCCTCAGAACTCACACATTTTGTCAAACTTTTTGTCTTAAAAACCTGATGGAAGCAAGACAAACCCCCAGAAAGGAAAAGCCATTCTTTTTTGTTTTTCTTCCGGGACCAGGAATCGAACTCACAACCTTGTGCCTGCCAGGCAGGCACTTTGCTGCTGAGCTAAATCCCCAGCCCAGAAAGGCCATTCTTTTTTTTTTTTTTTTTTTTTTTTTTTTTTTTTTTTTTTTTTTTTTTTTTTTGGTTTTTGGTTTTTCTCCAGTACCGGGAACCGAACTCACGACCTTGCACTTGCCAGGCAGGCGCTTTGCTGCTGAGCTAAATCCCCAGCCCCCAGAAAGGCCATTCTTAATGTTCTAATTTTATCAGAGTTTGCTGAAGCCTATGGTGGAAAAAAAAAAACTCACAAAAAATGTCAACTGAAACTTTAATTCCCTAAAGTAAAATATTTAAAAGAGTGAAAAATCTCAAGTTTAAATTTAATCCAAACTGATTGAGTCAATCCGATTTAAAAATGTCTTGACTTGGAAGGAAATCTCCGGACAAACTTGTCAAGGTCAGATTTGTGGCTGACGGTGACTTCCAACAGTCGCCCTGAGTCTCGAGCCCCCATGTTCTGTCCCTGCCATTCTGATGGACAGGAAGAGCAATTCCAAATCATAGGAGGGAGGAATGACAGACAGGATACGCTACGACTGGACAGACAGATAAACTGGTCAAGAAACAGTAACCACACACTCTGGGAGGCCGAGGCAGGAGGATTGTAGGGAGCTCAAGGCCAGCCTGGGCTACAGAGCAAGACCTAATCTCAAAGCAAAACAGGACCAAGTGAAATGACATTTCTCAGAGAAGCTTACTAAGTAAGGACACAGCCACTTTCTGTGAGGGAAAAGAAAAAAAAAAACAAGTTTAACTCTGAAAGCACTGGGCAAATGGACCCTGTGTTAACCTGGAGGTAGGTTTCCTTTGCACACACTTAGCACACTAAGCCAATTCTTTTTTATGTTGGATTGGTGTTGTTTCTCTTAGGATTTCAGTAACTGTAATCACTATATTGGGCTGAATGCTAAAGTTGAACCTTCACTTACATTTTTATGGTTAACGCAGGGACTCAAAAATAATCTTTCTTGTTCTCAAAACCTGTAGCCTTTCCAAAATAGGCAATTTCAGTTTTAAAATTTCCTGCAAAAGCACTCTCCTCTACTCTTACTAAGTTGGTTTCCACTTTTCATTTATCACTTAGATGTGAGATAGTAAAAATCTAGTTTTGCTAAATATATGCACACGTCTTCTATTTATATGCAGAGAGGAAAGCCGGGTGTGGTGGCACACACACCTGTCATCCCGGCTCTCAGGAGGCTGAAGCAGGAGCACTGCTGTGAGTTCAAAGCCAGCCTGAATTGCACAGGGAGATCCTGTCTCAAAAACAAATAAACAGAAAAAGAACTTAGGGCTGTGGAGTGGGCCCGGACCCCACAATGGACAGCACCTCATTCCCCAGGCCCTGGGGTAGGGACCACCTTTGTTGGGAAGGCTGGCTCAACATGCAGCCCTGCAGCCCTGCAGCCGCTCCGGGTCTCCGGAAACATTTGGTCCAAATGGCAGGGATAATTTTGGCCGCACGACTCCCCCGGGCTTCTCTCGCTTTGCCACTACAGCGCTTGATTTAGGAACGAGGCTGGCATTTCCTCTAGCTGCTGAAACGCTGGGTGTCATGGTTCTGGGTCTTTTTTAGCTCTAGCCAAGAAATTTCAAACGAATTGGACCCTTGGTTTGAACCCAGCAGCACATCCCGGGGGACAGCAGCGCGGCGGAATTCCTGACCTCTAGCGGGATATCGTGCGACACAGACTATTATCTAATAAGATTTCTACATCTATGGTGGCAGGGTTAATTTTGGCATATCTGACGATAGAATAGGTATTATATTTAATAATATAATATAAATTATGTATAATATATGAAATGTGTTGTTCAAATATACACCAAAATTATCCCTGCCTTTATAGAATGTGTGTGTGTGTGTGTGTGTGTGTGTGTGTGTGTGTGTGTGTGTGATTTTTTTTCAGTACTGGGGATGGAACCCAAGACCCTCACACTGATCTTCATCCCCAGCCTTTTTTATTTTTCCTTTTGAGACAAGTTCTCATT